AGATAGATAGATAGATAGATAGATAGATAGATAGATAGATAGATAGATAGATAGACTTTCATTGTTAACCTTTCGTAGCCGTCATGTAAAAAGGTCTAGAGGTTGCCGTTCTCTGTGTTTTGGACCAACACTTTTAACATGAGTAATTAATTAATTGTATAACAGCCTTTAAACCCGTTAGCCAGGAGATAATTGAGTCTGTTCTGTCCCTGCCAATGTTCCATTGCTTCCTTTAATGAATATTTTGACGATTTGTAGCCTCAGGCAATGCATTAGTTGTGGCCCGCTTTGGCTCAGATAAAAGTGGGATAGCGTCGAGGTTCCAGATCAGCGAAATGGGTAGCCGCCAAATACCGCACAGGTTCCAGGTGTACGTGAGTGAAGATTGCAATGTACTCACTTGAAAGGGCTTTGGAACCGACACAAAACGGACATCAACCCGACAGAAAATGATATCCCCGAAATTGCACCGCTGCCGAAACGATTCCTGACCATGACAATTTCCAACAAGAACCTTTTGGCCCCAGTTCATCAACACGTCACGATATAAAAACGATACGTCAATGAGATCCAATCGTAAAAGAGATCCGTTTCGTCAACATATCGTTTCATATCTTAGGTGTCAGTTCGTCAGCACCAGACGATACAAAAGCGATACCTCAATCAAACCCAATCGTTGAAGAGATTCGTTTAGTCAAACATATCGTTTCGTGCCTCAAGCTTCCGTTCATTATCTCGTGACGATACAAGAACGATACTTAACTAAAACTAATCGTTTTAGAGATTCGTTTAGTCAACGTATCGTTTTGTGCCTGGGGCCTCCATTCATCAGTGCGTGACGATACAAAAACAATACTCAACTAAACCTAATCGTTGTAAAGATTCGTTTAGTCAACATATCCTTTCATGTCTGAGGAACAAGCCGATACAGCGTCTCTTTCCGATATTTTGCACGTCTTCGTCTAGACCGTTCAAGCTCCTTTTTTTGTGTGCCTAACAAG